CCGTTTTTCTCTGGCTTTACCCAGCTTTTTAAAAACCCAGTTTACTAATGCTCCATCTTTCTTCTGATTTCGTTTGAGGAGAACATTTTGCAATAAAAATAAAACAAAATAAAATATTGCATATCATTTTCTTCCCAAATTATGTGAGCATTTATATTCAAGTTTGGGGTCTTAACATTGATTTTCTTTTAATTCCCATGAGTTGGTCTCCAGAACCCACTGGTATTTAAAGAGGACTTCATTCGTGTTTATGTGGGTGTCCTGCTTAATCGTGGTACGCTGGTCACTGGCTCTCAAAACCCAGGCCTTCACTGGGTCATGAGAACCAGGCTTGACACAGATACATTTCAGGCATTAAAAAACCAGCAAGAATCCAGGTTCTCATTAGGGCACACTTCGCAGAAACTGGCTGCGGTTACCTGCCGAGAGGGACATTAGGACGGAAACGCTGTTAATATAATGATTTACTTATTTACATTGACGTAAAGCTGACTTACAATATTGCATTATTTTCAGGTGTACAGCTTGGAGATTCAGTATTTTTGCAGATTACGCGCCATTAAAAGTTACCACAAGATAAGGGCTATAATCCTCTGTGCCGACAGTGTGTCCTTGTTGCTTATCTGTTTTATACACAGTAGTTTGTGTCTGTGAATCCCACACCCCTGGTTTTTCCTTCCCCTCCTCCGTCTCCCCGCTGGTAACCGCTGGTCTGTCCTCTGTCTCTGTGACTCTGTGTTTGTTTTCCATGTACGTCCGTTTGCATTATTCCTTACATTCCGCACATAAGGGGTGTCGTGCAGCATCTGTCTGTCCCTGTCTGGTTTATCTCACTAAGCGGGGCGCCCTCTAGGCCCATGCATGCCACTGCACGTGGCAGAACCTCACTCTTTTTTGGGAATAAATTTTACTTTATTGAGGATGTGCTTTGGCTCGGTGGTATTTAACAATGATTTTTTTTACCTTTGAACAAAGAAGTTTCACGCATGGGAAAGGTAAGGCGTTGAGATGTAAAATGATTTGGGATTCAAACAGGAGTTTCTGAATTAAAACCCCTTTTTTCCACAAGACCTTCCAGAGGGGACCTCGTCGTCTCCATTACGTTCAGCTGCACGTCTACACCAGCAGACACTCCTGTTCCTCGGGCTCCTCTCTCCCCGGGGGGCACTGACCACACCCTCAACGGTCGCCCCCCCTGATGTGCTGTTCAGCACCGATTTGTTCTGAGCACCTACCGTGTGCCAGAAGCTGTTCTAAAATGAAGGGCGAGACAGCGAAGGAAAACACAGAAACTCAGGAAGGAAATACAAAGTAGTGGAGGCACTCAAACAGTAAAATACAGGTCAACACTGGATTACGTTTTCTCTAGAATAAGAGTCCCTTAAGGGCAGGGACAGTTTCTGGCTTGTCTGCCACTGGATTTCCCACCTGAAGTGGGGCTCAGGACAGGTAGATTCTAACTGATACATGATGGGGGCAATTTTCCTAAATGAAGGACAAAAATGAGATATGAAATCTAGAATACAAATATAATCGCTTCGGGTATTTTATTTAGCATATGGTGGCTTTATGTTAAAGACATACGTTTACCAAAATGTATTCAATGATCCTATTTAATATTAATTATCTTTTGCATATAAATCATTAACATATTAGGCAGCAGTTGACTTTTTTCATCTTTATTTATTTTTGTATATATATTTATTGAAGTACAGTCAATTTACAATGTTGTGTCAGTTTCTGATGCACAGCACAATGTTTCAGTCATACATGAACATGCATATATCCATTTTCATATTCTTTTTCGCAGTAGGTTACTGCAAGGTGTTGAATATATATAAAATAAACAGTTGACTTTTATTGTCTTCTCTGTTTGGAGAGAATTCATTTATGTATGCACAGACACACATACATCATCATATATCAAAAATGTCACTTTTGTTACTGAAAGTAGATGGCATATGTTAAAAATTCTAATCAAATGTTGTCAAATATTTTTCATTAGTAAACAAAAGAAGGACCTTTTAGGCATAATAACCTGATACCGGTTTTCCAAGTTAGTGGATTAAAAGCCAGGGTCCTGGGAGCGGAGACTGGGCTCTTGTCGCTGGTCCCTCCGTCATGTCGGTAATGGAAGGGACCAGCGCCCGACTCCCGCTTCCGAATCCACTTCGTTACCTTTGTTTGCATCCACCCAGTGCTTCCTGGATGATTACGTGACTGTCTGACCTCAGTGTGACTGGTCACTTATCCGCACGTGACTGATTTTGAGGTACATCTCAGCGGAAGCGTCAGTCTGCCCGCCGAGTCTCGGGTTCACCCCCCGTGTCACGACGTGGAGAAGCCCCTTTGTACCCTGCACTTCAGATGCCGGTGCCCTCCTCCTCGGTCCCGAGTGCCAGTAGGGTCCCCCAGCCCAGCCTTCAGGCATCTTCACACCCACCCACCCGGGTGCGTGACCTCAGCCTGCGGGGACACCCGGCGCCCGGGGACGGGCCCAGCGGAGCGCGTCGGCGCTGACGTGAGTTAGCTTTCGCGCCCCAAACTGAGTTCTAAGTTCAAAGCAAGCAAAGCTCCATGGAACCATTTTCTCCACGTGTCCACTGTGGACAAAACCTTGTGTTTAATTACTGCAGTTGCTTGTGTTTTCCTCAAGGCGTCAGTCTAAAAATAGTATTGGGTTATTATGATCTCATCCTTGTTTGTAATTCTCAGATAAAACTGAAGTGTCAATCAGATGGTGGTGGCATGAACAGAAAGCCCCATGTTTTAATATGGATAAAATACCCCGCTCACCCTCTGACAACATCCACACAGCGTGTCCTCAACACAGCTGCTCTCAGCTGGTTCCAGGGAGCCGTGGTGAGGAGCTCATCACACCCGCTCTCGCGTTGCCTCACACGTTGCTTGTCACCACGTATCTGGTCTGTTCCGAGGGTCCGCTTGACACCTGGCAGTCGCGTTAACTTAAATACAATTTAGCACTCTGAACACTCGCCCCTGAGCTTGGCTGTTCCATGTCAGTCACTTACATTGTATACCTTTTGCACATGTCACTTCGGGTTTGTTCATTTTTTTCCCTTCCTTTCTGCAAAGTTCCAGTTAGTGATTTTTCACAACAGAAGGCGTGGGCTCCCTGGAAGGCGGTGGGTTGGATCTGGGCTCCTCCAGGCAGTCCCAGTTCAGATCCGCAGCTGGCGGGGGGCTCGCAGCCCTTCACCACCTGCTCTCTTCCCCACTCACCATTTCTCCCACCGCATCGCTCACGGTCTGTCCTTGAACAGACTGAGAAGATAAGGAAGCCTTCCGACACGTGTATTTTTGCCTCTGGGAGAAAGAGAACAGCAGGGCGGGCTCTCAAGGCACTGGACTGAGGATGAGCAAAGATGAGACCTGGGTCAGTCTGACCGGCCGCTGAGTGGCCAGGTAGCTCGGGCAAGTCAGCTTCAAATCTCTCAGCTGCTCACCTGCCAACGGAGGGCCGTGCGTTGACAACTAACTCCCTTCACTCACGTGTCAAGATGTTAAGGTCCCACACAGGGGCTCCACCCACTCCATTTGTCTGGCCGTGTAAGGGACTCCCTGGAGGTCCCGCAGTGTGTGGTGGACACAGTGCACGTAAACCCACGAGCGTCCCCGTTGGAAGGTGAACCATGTTGTCTCCCACCCAAGGCGCCATCTCCTGTCACCGCAGTGGTTCTGAAACCCCATCTGTGACTCTCCAGCATCTCTGCCAGACAAAGCCATCATCTGTCTAAGAAAGTGGGCCAGTTTTAGACCACACTTTATGACTGCTGGAAGTACTCCCACGTTCAGCCAACTGCTGGGTCTAAAACCCCACTCCACTGAGAAGTTATAATACAGCCATTTAACATGCCACCAAAAACTAAATTCCCTAACAACTTAATTTTAGCCCCTAGGTTCTCGCTGGCCTGGTTCTTTAGAAACCGTAATGACTCAATTGCAGAATGCTGGTTAAATGCACAGTTCATTGCAAGTATAATGCTCACACACTTACCTCGTAAGTAACCGGTGTTCAGTGGAGTCCTTTACCTTCTCTGGGCCGTTGCTGACTGACATCTGACTTTGAACACGCGCA